GCTAGTTAATATTTTTTGAAAAAAAATTAAAAAAGGAATTCTATAAACGCAAATTTATCACACCTCGCCGGTTAAGGATTAAAATGCATCCTAAAAATATAATACTAATCAATTTCTAAATAACAATATATTTTTCACCAAATTATAGTAAAGTTGTTCAAAATTTTTCGCTCTAGAGTTTTTTATAATCTGCACGTCATCGATCTCGAGATTCCTGGTGTAAAATTATATTGCTTCCGATGGAAATACGAGTATAAAAAGGAAATTAAAAGGTTTAGGGCAACATTTTTTTGCAATTGCGTTTAGATAAGCGAGCGAACGAGAGTCCAGAGATAAGAGAGAGAGAAAGAGAGAGAGAGAGAGAGAGAGAGAGAGAGAAAAAATGTTAATATATTATAAATACGCATATACCGGCGAGAATGCCGGGTGGTTAGGGGAAATTTATGGAAACCTGTTCGTTTCAACTTGTGAAAATTATCGTTTGTCTAGTGAGATTTTTCATAGGGAGAAAACGAGACGGGTTCGACCGGCCACTTCCAGTGACATTTTTAGATAGTCTAGGGAAAGAAAATGATGAAATTGTTAATAAGAACCATGTATACATGCATATACGTTATATATATATATATATTATTGTTATTATATTAACGTTTTTTGTGCATCTTTGGAGTACGATTATTTATTTTAATTTTACCCTATCATTATTTCAGGCACGACTGCGAAGAGAACATGAGAGAAATTATATATATTATGTATGGATTAATAATATAAAATATACAGAAGACTTGAGAAATTTTTTTGTGATATATATATGGAAGATTTTATTACAGTATTGATTCGCAATTTCGAGATAGATATTTGAAAACAATTTGTTTGAAAAAACGATGTTATACATTTTTAACATTGTTACCCTCAACACGGATATTTCCACTTTATGATTTCACTTCAACAATTAATAACAGTTTCAAAAAACTTGTTACGTTTGTACGATCAAAATTTAATTCCACGTATAGTTACAATCTATCGGTTACACGGATGTACCATGTATGTATATTTCTCTTTTATTTAACGATTTTATAACGAAATGATCTTTTTTTTGCTTTTCTTCCCTTATCTCGTGTCAACGGAATTGAACAAAACCTATCATCTGTCTTTCCAATCACGGAAAAAAGAAAGCTTATCTTTTGGACGCGATAATCTCACGGATAAGATCTCAGGTAGGTATTTCTATAGTTCAATAACGTATGATTAAACCTATTAGACGTAATTTATTTTTATGAAAGAATTGAAGTAAAGAATATAAAATGGGAATAAAATCAAGGAGAATATTTTTTTTAATTCATCTCCTCTCATCGACTGTCCATTTTATTTCATAAATATTGGCCTGTGTTCAATATTTTGGCGATTTTTATATTTATAAATTTCAATTTATTTTATTTTTTTCGCAGAAAAAAAACCCTAGGCCAAAAATTAATCGTGCTACATCCACGACGGATTAATTCTACGTTAATCAAAAAAAAAAAAAA